GTGAGAGTGGACTCCCATTCAATTACCATTTTATAGGCAGTTTCCTTATACCCCCTTTATAGACTAGCTTCGTGAATGAGGCATACTAGCGATTTGACTGACCATATTCTTATACATATATAATATTTAACTTTTAATATATATATATATATATATATATATATATATATATATATATATATATATATATATATATATATATATATAAGGTGTGTTTTAAACTTTCAAAACTTTAGAGTTTATATATAAATTTTAAAAATTAAGACATTAATTGTAAATTTAAAATAAACCAAATAACTAGATTTAATCTTTATCTATTAATTAACGTTTAATTAATTAATTAAATCTTGTAAGGATTATCTAATTAAATCAAACAATTAATTTAATCCTAATCCATATCCCTTCTAGATTTTGAAAATATGGGGATAGGATAATTTCCTTATTTTGTCAACAAAATAACTAGATTTAATATTTGTCTATTAATTAACTTTTAATTAATTAATTAAATCTTGTAAGGATTATCTAATTAAATTAAACAATTAATTTAATCTTAATACATATCCCTTCTAGATTTCGAAAATATGGGGATAGGATAATTTCCTTATTTTTCTTAATTATCCAATAAGGATACTATTATCCAAAACAAAGAAACCCTAATTCTTCTAGCATATTTCGAAAATCAAGGGAGGAGGCTAGGGTTCCCAAAACCCTAACCCTAATTTCGATTAGGGTTCTTGGAGGCTAGGGTTTTTCGAAAACCCTTTGATCCAAAACCCTAAAAATTAGGGTTCTTGGAGGCTAGGGTTTTTCGAAAACCCTTTGATCCAAAACCCTAAAATCAAAAAATTTGGCCTTTAGGGTTTAATGGCTATAAACCCTAATTTGCAATTCAACTATTATAGCAATTCAATTTAAAACAACAATGGCTCTGATACCACTGATGGGTTTTATGTAAAACAAATAAACTAGAAAACAATTCCTAAGTTCACATGCAACCTACTTTGGATCTATGTTTTAACTATTGAGCATATAACTTCGAATTGCAAAAAAAGAACCCTAGAGGAGAGAGGCTATTATCAAAAATAACAAACTAGGGTTTAGGAGTTACATACCTTTCAATTGTTATAGCAAACAATTGACAATCATCTTGATCTTCTAGGAAGCTTAGCACCACAAATGTAATGCCTCTAATGGAATCACACCCAAGAACTAGCAATAAGGAAACTTGAAGGAGAGAGGGTAGAGGGAGTATGAAATTTTTAGCCCTAGGGTTTCTTCCAAGAAGGAGTGGCCGATTTTAGGAGCTGGGAGGCTCCTTATATAGCTGAAGGATCTAGGGTTTAGGGAAAACCCTAATGCTCCTTTGCTTAGGGCCTAAGCAAACCCAAGGGCCTTATCTAAAACCCCTTGGACGAAATCCTTAGGGTTTCCCACATAGATTTCGTTGACCCCCTTCCAAGGAGGTTCTAGAGCCATCCACTCAACTATCTGATAATTGCAAACTAGTCCCTGCACTTTATAACTAATACTTTTAACCCCAAAATTAATTCTGATTAATTTCTGGCTAACTATTAATTAAACATAATGATTCCTAATTAATATATTAATCTTTTAACATATTAATAAATCATTTATATTTATTTATTAATCTTATAATAAATCAATATCTCTCCTTTCATAATTTCCTTGTCCGGTTGCTAGGTTTGAGGGCAACCCAAAAGGACTATGCTGCTATCAATTCAAGTACATACCAATTATAGTTATGAGCTTAGACACCTAATCCAATACATATTTCCATCACAGGAGGGTTAACAACCATAACGTCATCCGGAACCTCCAAATCACTAAGTTTTGAAAGAGGGTATACGGTCTGCTCGTACGTTCTTTGATATGTTTCAATTTTATAAGCATATATAGCCATATGCCCGCAGTGATCATTTTTCGAGTGCGTTAAAACCATTATTACATGACTACATAGCAAACCAGTTAGTTGGCAATTTCTACAAGAAGAAGTCTTTTCCCTCAAATTCACTATGTCGCAGCTTTTGAAGTCATGCACTTGATATGTTGTATTGTCAAGACCGGATACTGACCATCCTTGAATCCCCCTCTATATTTTTTTTAACAATATCTTCAGCCCACTGCGTGAGTATTGTTGTACTTTTTTCTGTTAAAACAAACATATATTATTATATATGACATTTATCATATAATTTAAAATTAAACATAATCATACATGCAACCATCCGCCGTTTGTAAAAGCATTTCTGCATAAGTGCGCGAAAGAACTCAAGAAGTGGTAATATAGGCAACCTCCTTGCTTTATTTGATACAACATTCATGGACTTCACACTATTTGAGGCCATATAATCATACCCCGTGGTAGGGCAATATGCTTTGGTCCATTTCTCACGTGGAATTTGATTGAGATATGTCTTTACATCATCTCTTATATTACGAAGTCTCCCCCCATAGATTTCAAACTCAGTGGTTTTTTAAGCTCTTACCAGCTTCTAAAACAAAATTGCTATTTTTTTGTTTTTTCCAAAGGCATGGACTATTTTTCCTATTATATGAAAACCGCAGAAACCATGTTGAGCATTTGGAATAACATTTTGAATACTTACAACAATTGCGGGTGCTCTATCTGTGACCATTGTCAGACCTTCCACATCACCAATGCATTCATGTAGTTTTTCAAGAAACCATATCCAAGAATCTATAGTCTCTTTTGGGCAAATTCCATATCTAATAGGCAAGATTTCATTGTTTCCATCCATGGCTACTGCATGCAAGATTGTGCTTTTGTACTTTCCCTTGAAATGAGCACCATCCATAATAATAACTTTTCTACAACACTATCTGAAAGCGTGTATCTGCAACAACAATATAAAACCATTAATATATCAACAATATAAATTGTTTATCAACATTTAAGATAATAAAAAATATATTTAAAAATATATTACCGCACATCCAATAGAGAAAAAGCAGTACTCAAAACGATCCCCCGAATCAGTTTTTATGTACGCCACAGTACTCGGATTATGTTTCTTTAGATTGTGAAAGTAAATTGGAAGTTTGGACAAACTTTCTTCGGGGGTCCCCATCATCAATCCCAAAACAAATTCTCTAGCATGTCACGCTTGTGAATAACTCATATTTATTTGCAGCAAAGTGTTCATATCTCTAATTATATCATTAGGCTTCTAAACTCTCAAACTTCCTTAACCCATAATGTTATGTATTATCTTTCCCACAACTTCTCTATTTGCTTGCCTATGATTTGGGTGTATAAACAATGAAGAACATGTGTGCTCGTCATTAAACGCCTTAATTTCAAATATTTATGTTCCTTTAATGACACATGCGTATAAACGTCAATGATAGTTTTCTTGCATACAAACAACCTGGTACCGAGATTTTGAAGATTTTTCAACATTTATCTGAAATATTCCTCTAATGGATTTGAATTTAACAGCAAATGCTAGCTCTTTTTTTGTGTTATAGGTTTGATTGACAATTAATTTATCATTCGGACCTAGGTTCAAAAATAGGTCCTGGACAATTAGGGATAGAAGGAAGACATACCATGGATTAAAACATTTCATTATTTTTAACCTTTTTTGTCAAGTTTTTTACATAATAATATAAGATATAAGTGTATTTAAAAAAAATATTAATAAACGAAAGTGAATGCAAAAAAACAAAAATAAGATTAAAAAAATTAAAAAACCAACATTCCGCATAGTTGTAGCTGAATCCGCAGAGGCTTTGATTGATCCGCAGAGGTGGGTTCCCAAAGAGTTTTGTGGACCGAATCAAACATAAGTTAATTATTTTTAACTTTTTTTTGTCAAATTATTTACATAATCACATAAGGTATTAGTGTATTAAAAAAAATTAATATTAATAAACGAAAATGAACTCAAAAAAATAAAACGAAAAAAAATCAAAAAACAGCATTTCCGCAGAGCTGTAGAGGATCCACAGAACATTTAATGGTTCCACAGAGAGTGCTCTACGGATCGTGTGGTCATTTTCAAAAATTTGATTTTCTTTGGTTATTTTCTTCAAATCAATCTCATTTTTTGGTTATTGTCCAAATTTTGTCTATATATATATATATATATATATATATATATATATATATATATATATATATATATATATATATATATATATATATATATATATTGGTATAATGTGTGACACAACAAAAAACGTAGCCTTAGTATACGACATAAGATGTCACGATTAATGTCCCTAGCCGTCGCAAATGGTCAATGTCGTCGCTATTGGTGTCGTCTATTGGCATTCCGGCCACCAATAGGAGTTTTCCGATTACTCTTTCCGAAATGAGTAGCCATCACAATTGATCAATGTTATCTCTAAAGGTGTCGATGCTAATGCTTTTTTTTTTTTGAAAAAACAATTTATTTTTGATATTAATTTATATATATATATATATATATATATATATATATATATATATATATATATATAATGCAGATTTAATACAAATGCAGAAATAAATACATACCACATTACATAAAACATCAAATGTACCACATTACATAAACTATCTATTAAATCCAAAATAACATCATCCATAACATAAAACAAGAAATACTATGTGTCTTCATCTTCCCCATCGTTGTTGATTTGGTTCTTAAAAAAGTGGATAATATCTCCAATTGTCGTCGCAAACATCGGGGTTTAAAGAAAAGTATTCACATCAACATCCTAGAATTAAGTCACAATCATATTAAGTCATTAATAATTAAACAAACTATCAAATTGTCAAACCACCAGATGAATTAAGTCATTAACAATTTAACAAACCATTAAACCACCAAGTCAACTAAGTCTTTAACAATTTAACAAACTGCCAAACTACCAAAAATTACTATAAATGCATCAAGTTCTTAACAATATAGCAAAGCTGCTAAATTCTTTAAGAAATTAACAAATACATGTGTTGGGTGTGTTGCTTGTGACTATGACTGCCATTGTGATGGAGCACTGGTACCCAATGAAGAAGAAGGTTTAGGCCCAATGCCTCTAACATGCCCCCTTCGAGCACCTAACACCTTCTGAAATATTGCTATCGAATCAATGGTGTCTGGATCACCACTAGAGTCGGCTATGTGATGAGTCTGTAAACCAACCTCATCAGCTAAAACATTCTGTATTTTACATAGATTGTTAATATACGTTAAAACTAACATACACAAAAAAAAAAAAAAAAACAACAACAACAACAACAACAACAATCTACTTCATTTTTAAATAATGATAACTTACATATTGGTCTTCAACCAAAGGATCAACAAATTCCCGTTTTTTATTCACATGCCCACGACGAAATACTTCAAGTCTATTCAAATTCTATTTAAGATTACAAAATATGTTATACTTGAATAAACATTAAAAAAATATGTTATAACTAAATAAGCATTGTTGTAACTTACGTTCTTAAAACAAGCACTACTGTAGTTGCACGTTCCTCTACGATTCTTAACTACTTGCTTCTTTCGACATTCTTTGTTTCCAGCGGATCGTTTTTTATGCTTTTTTGTTAAGAAGTGGTCAAAAGCATCAATCCAACGCTACAGATCCATACCCACAAGGGCTTGAACCCTTGCTACCTCCACATCCCCTTTAAAACTAGTCAAACGAGTTTTTGCAACATTTTTGTGGTCTCTATACAATGCACATATCGATTGTTCATTGACGCCCAATAAACTGGAGCCATGAGATCATTTTAAATCGCTCCAAAATCAAACCACGTCTACAAAAAAAATAGAGAAATTAAAAATAAATTAAAATTAAACATATTAAATATATAACATTATAAATAATTTACCGAAAGATACTAACTTCTTTCAATGTGTCCTCATCGAAACTGATGTCACGCAACATATAGCTCCCAACCTACCAAATGAAACATTCGTATACTTTCCCAATCCTCATGTGAGTATTTATGTAAAATATTATTTTCAGAGGCCGATTTCCGTTAGCTGCAAATAACTTGTACATTTTTTGATTATTGCCATGCCTCATCGTTTTGGAGGCACCGCTGCATAAAAATATATTAGCAAAATAAATTTTTTACAATACGAAATACAATAAATTATAATAAACCTTAATTACCATTGATCTGGTGATCACCAAAACCTCCATGGAACAGATGTAGTGGCTCGTCACCACGTCACCTCCATGGCCCATCACAGCAGCCATGCGATGGAGCAATGCAATCCAAAAAAATGACATCCTGAAAAATCATAACACCATTTGAATATATATACATATAATATGATATGATTACAACAAATACAAACCTTATTTTACTAGTCAATTGTAAATATTTTTTAATTATTCTCATCCTCAGACACTTTAGTATCTGCTGACACATCACTATCATAATCAAAATCCTCCTCATCATAACCAGTCTCGCAGTCAAACATATTATTGATGATACCCATTAGCGGATCAACTTCAATGTCATCTTCAACCAAGTGATAATATTGAAAGTACTAGCTAAAGTCAATTAAAGAGTGAAATTAGAAGAAGCATTACTAAGAACGACATCGGTTTAATCATTGTCGACAAGGGCCGGTCCTGAGGAATTAAATATTCTCAAAGGTCCATGACAAATAAGAAAAAAGGCCCTTATCATTATTATAATTTTTATTTTTAAATAAAAATATATTATAAAATATTAACCCTGTGCAGCTGCCCACTTCCCCCCCCCCCCCTCAAGCCCCCCATGATCAACATTTCTAATGGGATCATGGTCGACATTTTTGATCGGTAGATCTCAAATTCTTCTATGATTAGAATTCACCACAACCCACTATTGGTTTTTATTTTCGTCACTTCGAAGAGGTTCTTTGATGTAAAATACTAGTTTGGCATGCGTAGAAAATATGAGTTGATCGTCGCTGCTCAATTCGCATTGTGGGTCGATACTGGTGAAATTATTATCAGATTTAACTCCTGCAGTATCGAACCACTTACAACGAAAAAGTACAGTGGAATATTTATGAGGATAATGCAACTCGTTAATGATAATGTCTCTTCAGCGACATAACTCTCAGCTATAGAACCTTCAAGGTACATCGAGTCTCGACATCTTCAAGGTACATCGAACAAGATGATAATGTCTCTTCAACGACATAACTCTCAGCTATAGAACCTTCCAGCACCCCCTTGTTTCTTACATATTTTTTAATATATCCATATACCTTTCAAAGGGATACATCCATCTTATACATACCGAGCCTCCACAAATAGCTTCATCAGGTAAATGCAAAACTAAATGAACCATAATATCAAAAAACTCGGGAGGATAGATCACTTCTAACTGAAAAACAACTTAGGCTCTGATATCACTATTGGGTTATGATCATATCTACATTCCTATGTGATCATGCAACCCTAATTGCTTTGGATTTAAGTTTTTCACTAATTGAACATGAAAATAGAACACGAAAGCAATAACCCTAGATCTAGCATACAATTTTAGAAATTCATGTAAAAAATAGGGTTAGAATATTACTTCACTTGTTATGTTGCAATAACAAGAATACCTTTGAAGATCCGTGACTCTTGAAAGCTTAGTACCCCAAGTATTGCACCTCTAATGGAGTTACAAACACCCAATGTAAGAGGATGAGTTGGAGAGACAAGGAAATCGGATACACTAGGGTTTCATAAGCATAGGGCTGAAAATCCAAGGTGGTGGGGTTCTTTTTATAGTTGTGTGCTGCTAGGGTTTTTAGGTGGAAACCCCAATTCCTTGCTTAAGAATTAAGCAACCCATGAACTCCTCCTTATGAGGTCTTGGACAAAATCTATAGGGCCTCCCTATAGAATTTCATCCACTCATAATTAAGGAGTCCAATAGCCCAGTTCTGCAACTATCAATGATTTGCAAAATAGCCCCTCCATTATTAATCAGTTCCTTTAATCCCAAAATTAATATCAAATTAATTTCTGATTAAATACTAATTAATAATACGCTTTCCAAAAAATATATTAATCTTGAAATATACTAATAAAATCATTTTGAGTACCAATTTATTATTTCAAATAATAAATCATACTATCTCTTCACTAGTCATAATGTCATGTTGCATGAGTGAAGGCAACCCAAAAGGACCATGCTACTATCAAATCAAGTACATACCAATTATAGTTATGGGCTTAGACACCTAATCCAATAGTCTCCCACTGAGATAAGTCTAATAACTATGATTGCAAGTATGACTTCAAAATTTGACTAGTAATTGTTGCTTTTAAAAGCCACTGTGGAACTCTGATCTAATCAATGACGCGTCCTCTAGATAAGTGATCAAATATTCCACCATTCGACAAGATATTGTATTGAAATGCGACATTGATTATAATCATTTTCTCTATCTAAAATTTGTTTCCCGATTTCCGATTCATGACGACTGACTAACTGAACAAATCAAATCAGTCCAGGCTTGGCTAATCGCTTAGGGTTTCATCACTAAATTAGAGAGGGGCCCACATATATCGCAATTATCCCATTTAAGGTAAAAGGAATGGATAAACTTCGACTCATGTTTGTACTATTTACTCATCAAATCACACACAACAATACATTTTATAACATCAAATTACTGATGCGTTTACGTATTATCAATTTACAACCGACTTGTAAATAAACAACCCATATGTCTCCATTTCAATAATATAAGATATTGCTGTCTCAAAATTACTTGTGATAAAATCCATGAAGTAATTCTTGAGCGTGGGTTTATCCAATACTCAAATTCTTATTTCAGGAGTACTCATGTACACTGCAGCCAAAATTTGCTATGTTTAAGCACTTAGACAATCTGCAGTTGGATTCATGACAGTCTTAGTTCACTACTTACTTCCAAAGTATGATCGTATATGGATGTTTGGATAACCTAGTTATTTGGGAATTAAAACATGCGAAGTGAAACACAATAACAACCTAATCCAATATAGTCTCAAAACTTTTGAATATAAATAAAACACTTATTATTTAATCACCATATTAATCACACTTTATTCATTGTATAATGATTCGAGTAATCAACTTAATACTTGAATTAAAACAACAGTTATGCCATGCTCCAATCACGCACACTATGTTTATCTATGGTCCTTTCTTTGAGAAATAGATCTATTAAACACATTTCCAATGATGCTCATTTCATAATTCTAAATCCTTATCACAAGTGCAAGAATACCAAATTCTTTCCAGTTCATGAATGTGTTAGAGTCTAACTTTTCATGCAATGAACCTTTTGTAATGTCAAGGCACCAAAGTCATAGAGACTTTGCCAATGATATTACAAAGCAATCCATTATTTGGTTACAAAAAAATTACATGGAAATGAAGTCTCACATTCAAAGATCATTCAAGTAAAAAATTAAATGGAAATGAAGTCTCACATTCAAAGATCATTCCTTGAACATCCTTCTTGCATTAAAGTTACTAACTCATACATAGATCCTAAATATCCAACTCACACTTATGGAAACATTCCATATTCCCATATGATAATCCATTCTGTACAGAATCCTATCCATTTAGAATTACGTCAATATGTTCCATCCATTACTATACTTCCAACTGTCTATAAGCAACCAATCTTTTATAAAACCTCATAGTGTCCTTGACAGTTATTTAATAACTTTGGTCATATCAAGTTCTAGAACTCTTTCCCTCTTAATGCGTTAGGCATTTGTAAAAATCAAAATTACTGAATATTATAGCACATGCAATCAATCCTATACCTGAAGCATATGGGATTCAATACATAATGTCTTACATAAAGACATGATGCTTGACCAGTCTCGTGCTATAATATTTCCATATATTGAATTTTCTATGTTGAATCATTTCAACATGAAATTCATATATGTTGATGACTAAGTTCCATTAAACTCCAATTAAACATTTAGATTCAAAATGAATTATTAATGCCTTCTCCCTTAAGCCTTACTATAGCGAAAGAATTTCCAAACTTTGCGACTTTGCAAATTCAAAACTTTGTTTCCTATAAATAGCATTGTTAACTTGCGACACTTAACATAATAATTATGCTCCCACTAGCATAATAATTATAGTCTTACTAGCATAAAAATTATGCTCCCACTAGCCTTGACATGTACCTAGAAATCAGTTGGACTTCAAGAAATCAATAGTTATTGATTTTCTTACCAAAGTTTAGATTTATGATGCGAGATGCTTCGATAAGTCTTTATCTAGACTTCTCAAGCTCATACACCTTTCATTAGATAGCACATGTGTGTCTCTAAACCATTTCATAACTTATAGCAGTAAGTCCCAAATGTTCAAACTATTTTCCGTTTCTCACAATTCGAACTATGAAGAGGGATGACGTAATCATACTCGAATTTGAGAACACATGTCGCAACATGTAACCATAATGATATCAATCAAATTTAAAATCTATTAGCAAAAGGGTTTTTAACACAATCATTTTCATGAAGTAGAGGGAAACCTCTTGCCACTTAGATTTTATGGTGTATGTGTTCCTATCCATGTGAATTTGTTATTTCCAACCACTATCATAAGACAAGGTTTATCACAATTTCAAACTCATATGGACTGAACTTGCCTAATCTTAATTTCTTGGCATCCGGTAGCACAAGGGCCTACTAGTGCTTCCATGTTATTGAGTAATTCTCCCATATAGATCAATGAACTTTCACTGATCAAGGTGCTTTGCCTTATGCAATCAAATGAGAAGTCATACAACTCACATGCATAGTCAACTCAACTGGAATGGGAACATAAACAAGAATGTGTCAACACGATAGGTTATAAACCTCAGGTCATGTGCTAGTGATAACTAAAAGGTTTATTCTCAGTTGTCTCCTGAAACTTTTAAAGATTAATAAATCTCCCACTGACTTCTTGATATATAAGATTCTCGTCAAGGATCATTTCTTGACAAATAAATATTCTAGAGTTAGTGTGGGTTATTATTGAAAAAACACTTCATATAATTGGTCTTAGTTGGTCTTTGTTTTAACTAAAACATCACAACTACCAATTTCAAATGTGAAAAAGTAAGAAATACTCTAAATTTCATGAGGTGTTATAAACCTACTTAGAACATGTTACTCAAGGTACAACTTGGAATAACTAGCGTATAACTCTAAAACTCGATTTTGGAACGAATTATGACACATATTTTTGATTTAAC